GCACCGGGTAAGTCGAAGTCCCCCTGGTCCCCCCCGCCCAATAACTGCTGCCTGCCGCAGTGCCCCCTGCTGGCCACCTTCCCTGGAATGAGCCGCTTCTGCTGGGGACGGGGGGATCTGCCTGAGCCCCGGAGGGGAGCCTCCAGGGTAACCAGGCACTGCCATGGGAGCTAGGGGAGATGGGTGATCGATGACGGGGGGGGGGGGCGTTGCATGGGAAGTTGGAGGGGGGGTACAGCTGGGTCACTGTGTCTCCCCAGAGCTCCGGTGTGTCTGGGGCAGGGCACCCATCCAGCGATGTTGGCATGAGTCTGGCCTCCACAGGCCATGGCTTGCTACTGAACACACAGGACTCCTGGGTTCTCCTAACGCCTCCTGTGCTGGGGGGGTGTTCACCATCTGCCCCCTTACATCTGTAGTGGCTTGGGGCCCGCATGAGATCTGGGATGGGGGAGGGGATCCAGCCTGGTGCCCGTCTCGGGGTGTCAGGCCCCAGCTCTGGGCTGTGCAGCCCATGGGGCGTGGCTCCCAGCTAGGCCACTCCATAGCAGTCAGCATCCAGCATGCTGGGTTTCGGGGAGCAGAGATGGGCAGGGATTGCAGGGGATGGAGCCATCAGTTTGGCACGTGGCATTGCTGCTCAGAGAGACTTTCTTCCCCGCTCCCTTCACGGGCTCAGGGAGATGAGATAACGGCCATCCTGGGTCCAGCTAACTCCGGGTTCTGTCTCTGACAGCGGCCGGTGCCAGATGGTTCCCAGGAGTGAACAGAACAGGGCATTATCCAGTGATCCATCCCTTGTCGTCCAGTCCCAGCCTCTGGCAGTCCCAAGTTGAGGGACTCCCAGAGCATGGGGGTGCGTCCCTGACTGTCTTGGCTAACAGCCATTCATTGTCCTCCAGGAACTTGTCCAGTCTTTTCTGAACCGAGTTGTACTTTAAGGCCTACACAACATCCCCTGGCAATGAGTTCCGCAGGTGCGTTGTGTGAAGTACTTCCTTGTGTGTTTTAAACCTGCTGCCTGTTAATTTCATTGGATGACCCCTGGTTCTCATGTTAGGTGAAGGGGTAAATAACACTTCCCTCTTCGCTTTCCCCACACCAGTCGTGATTTACAGCCCTCTGTCATATCCCCCTTAGTCGGCTCTTTTCCAAGATGAACCAATCCCAGATTTAATCTCTGCTCATACGGAAGCTGTTCCATCCCCCTGATGGTTTTTTGTGGCCCTTCTCTGCACCTTTTCCCATTCTAATGCATTGTTCTGTGATGGGATGTGCCTTCAGGGCATGGAGAAGGGCTCCAGGCGGGCTTGGCCCGGGTGTTCCTGGGAGGGGGTGAGCTGGCGGTTCGAGGTGGGGACCTGCCCCGACGTCCATCGCAAAGCGCCAGACCCTGGCACTGTGATACAGGGCTGACAAGTGCCAGAGAGGGCAGCAGGGTGGGTCGCCCTGGGGATCAAGGGGGTGAGGGCAGTTCTGCCAGGGCCAGAGGCAGCTGGTCTGTTGGGGGGGGGCAGAGAGGAAGGAGCATGAGGGGTGTTTGGGAGCCACTGCCCCTGTGCCAGCTGGGCATGGGGTATGGAGGTTCAGCCCCTTTTGTTTGAGCTGCTAGGGGCCTGTGTGCATGTCCCTGTCGCTGGCCAAGCTGCGTGGAGGGTTCTCCCCATCTCTCAGTGGGGCACGGGGACCTGGGCAGGGGCTGGCAGAAGCGTGGAACCCCTGGGTGCTGCTGGGCTCGGTGCCCTGCCTGCAGCCAGCCTGCGCCTCCAGATGGCAGGCCTTGGCCGCGGGAGGAGAGTGAAGTGAGAGGGGCTGGAAGCGTGTGCAGCGGGGCTGGCCGTCCAGGCTGAGCAAAGCCCTGCACCCCTGTCTCCATGGCAGGGCAGAGCGGAGCTGGGGAATGGGGAGCCCTGGCCCTGCACGGCTCCGCGTGGGGTAGGCGGTGGATGCACCGTGGCTCCTGGGACGAAGTGGGAGGGCGGAGGGGGAGGCTTGCAGGGACCCGGGGGCCGTTTGCAGCAGCCAGATTGACAGCTCCGGTGTCCCACTCCTCTCTGCCCCGTGCGCCCGGGGAGCAGCAGGAGCAGGGAATGGAGGGGTGGGGACACAATGAGTGAACCAAGGGTAGGGCTCTGACCATACGCTGGGCACGCCACCTGGCAACACCTCCAGGAACAGCCAGCCTGGCCCCCTGCTTGCATGTGCAGAGCAGGGACACACGGCTAGACGCTGGCCGGCTGGACACACCCTGCTTTGTGCCCAGTGCTGCCTAGAATATTCCCGTTCCTTTCCAGCCATCTCGCTAGCAGGGCGACAGAGACAGAGTGGGAGGCGCTGCGATAAGAGCCAGGGCTAGAGCGATCCCACGCCGGGGTGGTGAAGAACCCAGGAGCTGCCCTGAGCTAGACACCGGCTTGGGCCGATGGTCAGAGTCCCTGTGAGCTGGGGGGGGCCCGGTGCTGGGTGGGATGAGACGTAATTCTGGCGGTACCGGGGGGCATAGCCTGGGCAGGACGCGAAGGAGCTGCTTGGAATGGGGAGAGCATGGGGGTTGTGCCAGCATCTCCTCGCCGGGCCAGGAAGCCTCACCAGCGATCCAAGCCCTGGAGCAGGGCCCTGCTCCGTGGGGCAGCATTGAGGATGGGGGCATCTGTGCCCCCCAGGAGCTGGGCTTTGTGGACTCGGTCCCCTCTATCCTTGCCCCATTTCTGGCAGCCCCTACTCTCAGCTGGGCCGGGTGGTGCCCGGCCATGCGCCAGCCTGCAGGAGCAGATTGCCGTGTGCTGGGGGTCAGTGCCTGTCAGAGAGATGCGGAGCCGTGACGGGTGGATTTGAAATTCCATTGCACGGCCTGGCTCTGTTTGGGACTTGGATGCAGCTGGGACAGAGCGCGGGATGGGAGTGAGCGGGTGGGGGGCAGGGGGAGGCAAGCAGCAAACGCTCCGGTGTCCCCAGATGGGCCCCAGGGCAGTCAGGGCCGTGGTGTAAATGAACCGGCCCTCGGCCCCATTGGCCGCGCTCCCAGGCTCCTGCCGGGACTCAGCCAGCATGTACTGCAGCTGGGACTGCGGGGTTCCAGCCGTCTGGCCCCCGCTCAGCCCAGAGCAGGGAGCGGGATCGTGGCCTGAGCCCAGTGCCATGGCTCCCGTCGGTGTGCGGAGCCGGCACCTCGCATCGCCTGTGGCGGGTCAGCGGGTTGGCTGGGAGGATTATCGCCGGCTGGGGTTTCAGTCAGGCCTGGATTAGGAGTGCCGGAGTCTCTCCTGAGTGGATCTGAGGGGATTGCCGCTGTAATCGATGTAAATGAGGCTCCCGCAGGGCCACCCTTTACGGGATTAACACAGTAACGGGATTAGCTGGAACAGGGTGAAAAATCCTTTCTCTGAGCCGTGGCGTGTGGCAGGGCCCGGAACCACCCCCCCCCCCCCGCGCCGCACTCCAGAGTGGGGGCTGGCAGCCGGGGGCCACCCTCCACGCCTCACCAGCTCTTGGGAGTGGAGGTGCTGGGGGAGGGCAGGAGAGGTCTGGGGTGTAGCCCGGTGGGCTAACGTCCCTTTATGTTCCCTGCTTTGCATTCTGTTCGGGCTTGGTCTGGTTCTGTTCAGTAGTGATGCAAGGCACCTCCAGGCCTGTCTCCTGACTGCATCAGTTAGCCCCAGGCACGAGGCCTGTACGGCCCAACAGACACCCCAAGTTGTGGGGAGCTAGGAACAGAGGGTGTCATTCCTCCGTCATCCATAGACTGGGCTCCGGGGTAAATGGAGGGGGCAGCCCCAGGCAGGGGCAGGGGTGGGGGCAGCGGTGCCTGCTGGGGGACACTGAGCTGGGGCTGGATGGGCCAGGGGCTTTGGGGGGCTTTGATACCCCTGCCCATGACTAGGTGGGCAGATGCTGCCTGGGGGTGTCCCCTGGGCACAGACAGAACCTCCTCCCCAGAGAGCCCAGCTCCATTCCCATCCCTCGGCACCTGCTGCAGGGGGCTGAGGACCCTCCAGCCTGGGCGGGGGCTGGGAGTCGGGGGGCTGGATGGAGCCTGCACTGTGGGGTCTGTGCAAAGGACTGGGGGGCCTGGGAGGTCATGGCATTGGGGGAGGGGATCACTTCTGGCACCGGTGCCCAGCGTCCCTCCCTCACGTGGTGCTGGGCCGCGTTAATCTCTCTTCCGGGGCAGCCTGCCAGCGAGACCCCGGTAGCCGGGGCACCACGGAGGCAGCCCCTGTCGGTCTGGTGGGGGCGGGAGGGGGGCTGTGTGTGGATTTGCCTGGGGGAGCGGCCTGGTAGCTGCTTTAGTGTGGGGGGAGCCTCACCGAGACCTTGGTCTTCTGCTGTCAGAGCCGATGCAGGGGGGCAGGGAGGGATTGTACAAACTCAACCCCCGCCAGTCTCTGGCTGCCGGTGCCCCTCGATTCCGGCTCCCCTCGACAGCTCTGCCGGTGCCCCTCAATCCCAGCCCGCAGCCCCTCTCCTGAGTCCCCGCTCAGATGGCTCATGGTGGTTTTGAGGCTGATTGTGATTCAGTGTCTGGAGGGGCAGGCAGGGGCCCGAGCCGCTGCCCCCCCTTTGCTTGGGGGGGGCTGGGGGGCGTTTCTCAGCTCCATGAATGTGAGGATCGGTGCTGCCTCCCGTGGCAGCTGGGAAAATGGCCCCCATGCAGGCCCCCCCCTTCTCCACCCTGCCCTGTGGCCAGGCCCGGACACGGGAAGGGCGAAGCCCTGGCCTGGGAGAAACCCCTGGGGCCTTGTGCAAAGCCAGGGGTCTGGGCAGCTGCAGTTCCCAGCTGGGTCACTGCCCCCCGTCTGAGGTCTGTCTGGGCGGAGGTGGTTTGTACAGACTGCAGGGGGCACAGGGATGTGGCTGAGGGTCCCTTCCCTGCAGGTGTGGGGCAGGGCCCAGGGCGGCGCACCTGGAAGCGAGGCCAGGGGCCCTGGGGGGGGCAGTGTGGCAGGGTGGGGGTCCTGAGGGGTCCTGCCCGCCCCCTGACGCTGACGCTCTCCCCCCAGCCTGCACCGGGAGGGCTACACGGTGCAGGTGAACGTCAACGACTACCTGGACATCTACTGCCCGCACTACAATGACTCGGTGCCCGTGCGCAGGACGGAGCAGTACGTGCTCTACATGGTGAACGCGGAGGGCTACCACGCCTGCAACGCCAGCCGGGGCTTCAAGCGCTGGGAGTGCAACCGCCCCCACGCGCCCCACAGCCCCATCAAGTTCTCCGAGAAGTTCCAACGCTACAGTGCTTTCTCGCTGGGCTACGAGTTCCACGCCGGCCAGGAGTACTACTACGTCTGTACGTGGGGCCGGGCCCTGGCGGGGGGTGGGGGCCGGGGCCGGGGCCGGCCCTGCAGCCCACAGGGCAAGGGGGTCCCCTGGGCAGCCGCAAGCCCAGAGCTGCCTCTGCCAAGCAACAGCTTCTGCCCCAGCCTCAGCCTGCAGCCCCAGGGCACCGGGGGGCGGGAGCTGAGGGGGGGTGTATTGCGGCCCGTGAGGGTGGGAGCGAATCCACAGCTGCGGTGTGGCCCCCCAGCAGCCTCCCTAAAGCCCTGCCAGGCTCCCCCTGGGGGCAGCAGCCCCCTGCCCTGGCTGGTGGGGGGGCCCTCGGGGTGGGGGAGCAGGTGTGATCTCAGGGCTCCTCGTTCTCTTGCAGCAACCCCGACGCACAATCACCGCCGGGCCTGTCTGAAGATGAAGGTGTTTGTGTGCTGTGCCTCCAGTGAGTACAGCCTTGCACGTGCGTGTGCGAATGCCCAGGGGGGTGGGGGCGGGTGAAGGGGCAGCGTGTCCGTGCCCAGCAGGGGCTCTTGGGAGGGGGTTTCGGGAGCGGGGGCGGCCCCAGGGGCAGCGGCTCCCCTGGCTTGTTAGTGTAGGGGCTGGGGGTGGGCCCCTGAAAGCTCCCGGGGTATCCCCCTGGGCTGTGACCCTTCTCCTCTCTCTCCTGCCTGCAGCCTCGCACTCCGGGGAGAAGTCGGTGCCCACCCTCCCGCAGTTCACCATGGGGCCCGAGGTGAAGATTGAGGACTTGGGTGAGTGCAGGGCACCAGCACAGCGGGACAGCACGGGGCATTGCCCCCCAGAGCCAGCACCCCCGGGCCACCCCCACAGCACCCCTAACGGGGTGAGGCCAGGACTGGAGTAGTCAGGAGCTCCCCCAGCCATGGCTCACACCCTGTCTCCCATACAGCGTTACACACACACACACACACACACACACACAGCCAGTGCTCACACCCTGTCCCTGGTGCAGCGTTTTACACACACACACACACACACACAGCCAGTGCTCACACCCTGTCCCCGGTGCAGCGTTACACACACACACACACACACACACACACACAGAGCCAGTGCTCACACCCTGTCCCCGGTCAGCTACACACACACACACACACACACACACACACACACACAGAGCCAGTGCTCACACCCTGTCCCCGGTGCAGCATTACACACACACACACACACACACAGAGCCAGTGCTCACACCCTGTCCCCGGTGCAGCATTACACACACACACACACACACACACACACACAGCCAGTGCTCACACCCTGTCCCCGGTGCAGCGTTACACACACACACACACACACACACACACACAGAGCCAGTGCTCACACCCTGTCCCCGGTGCAGCATTACACACACACACACACACACACACCCAGTGCTCACACCCTGTCCCTGGTGCAGCGTTTTACACACACACACACACACAGCCAGTGCTCACACCCTGTCCCCGGTGCAGCGTTACACACACACACACACACACACACACACACACAGCCAGTGCTCACACCCTGTCCCCGGTGCAGCGTTACACACACACACACACACACACACACACACACACACAGCCAGTGCTCACACCCTGTCCCCGGTGCAGCATTACACACACACACACACACACAGAGCCAGTGCTCACACCCTGTCCCCGGTGCAGCATTACACACACACACACACACACACACACACAAGCCAGTGCTCACACCCTGTCCCCGGTGCAGCATTACACACACACACACACAGCCAGTGCTCACACCCTGTCCCCGTGCAGCATTACACACACACACACACAGCCAGTGCTCACACCCTGTCCCCGGTGCAGCATTACACACACACACACACACACAGAGAGCCAGTGCTCACACCCTGTCCCCGTGCAGCATTACACACACACACACACACACACACACAGCCATCTCACACCCTGTCCCCGGTGCAGCATTACACACACACACAGCCAGTGCTCACACCCTGTCCCCGGTGCAGCGTTTTACACACACACATATACACACACACACACAGCCAGTGCTCACACCCTGTCCCTGGTGCAGCGTTACACACACACACACAGCCAGTGCTCACACCCTGTCCCCGGTGCAGCGTTACACACACACACACACACACACAGCCAGTGCTCACACCCTGTCCCCGGTGCAGCGTTACACACACACACACACACACACAGCCAGTGCTCACACCCTGTCCCCGGTGCAGCGTTACACACACACACACACACACACACACACACAGCCAGTGCTCACACCCTGTCCCCGGTGCAGCGTTACACACACACACACACACAGCCAGTGCTCACACCCTGTCCCCGGTGCAGCGTTACACACACACACACACAGCCAGTGCTCACACCCTGTCCCCGGTGCAGCGTTACACACACACACACACACACACACACACACAGAGCCAGTGCTCACACCCTGTGTCACGGAGTCCCTGGGCGATGCTCTGGAACTGCTCCCCATGAAGCCAGTCAGGACTCTGGGGTAGTCGCCTTTCTGTGAGCAGCCTGTCTTCAGGACACACAGCTCACACAGCTTCCACCTTCCTGGGTCTGACCTCAGAGCATTCAGCATCCTCTGCCCCTCCGTGCACTTCCCCCCAGCGAGTCCGCTCAGGCGGGGCTCCTGGGGAAGCCAGAGGGTCCTGCCCCCCAACTTCGCAGTCAGACGTGACTCTCAGCCAGCCAGTAAAACAGAAGGTTTATTAGACGACAGGAACATGGTCTAAAACAGAGCTTGCAGGTGCAGAGAACGGGACCCCTCAGCTGGGTCCATTTTGGGGGGCAGTGAGCCAGACAACCACGTCTGCACTTCACTCCATGTCCCAGCCAGCCCCAAACTGAAACTCCCTCCAGCCCCTCCTCCTCTGGGCTTTGTTCCTTTCCCGGGCCAGGTGGTCACCTGATTCCTTTGTTCTCCAACCCTTCAGCTCTCACCTTGCAGGGGGGGGAAGGGCCCAGGCCATCAGTTGCCAGGAAACAGGGTGTTGGCCATTCTCTGTGTCCAGACTCCTGCACACACATGCCCTCTAGGGCTCTGCAATGATCATACACCCTTACCCCACCCCCTAGATACTTAAGAACTGCCTAGGGGAAACTGAGGCACCCCCACACTATTCAGAGGAAACATGAAGAACAGTCCCACTTCGTCACACCCTGTCCCCGGTGCAGCGTTACACACACACACACAGCCAGTGCTCACACCCTGTCCCCGGTGCAGCGTGTCACACACACACACCCCCTGAACTCCCTTGTAGGGTCCCAGGCCCGGTGGGAACTCGTCCACGCTGCGCGGAGCTCGGCTCTGCATCCTGCCAGCTGTGGGTTGGGGGGGTTTACTGCCCCATCCTGTGTGGCCCCTGCCACCCCCCCTCACTCTCTCTCTCTTTTCACAGATAACTTTAACCCTGAGAACCCCAAGCTGGAGAAGAGCATCAGCGGCACCAGCCCCAAACGGGAACACCTGCCGCTGGCCGTGGCCGCTGCGTTTTTCCTAATGTCGCTCTTGGCCTCCTAGCCTGGTGTCGGCCGGCCTGGGGGCCTGGGCGCGGCTCCGCACAGCAGCTGCCCTGGCCCCTGGTGCTGGGACTCTGGCAGCGGCCGTTTGGAAAAGACAGAAGGGGGCAAGTCGGGGGGGAAGCGGGCCCCGCACCGCCTGGGCACGGAACCGTGGGCCCTGCTGCAGCCAGAGAGCCACTAGAGCCCCCCACCGTGGGGGGGTGCAGCAGCAGACACCAGCCTGGGTGCCGGAGGGATGTAGCCTGGCCTGGGAGCTGCTGCGTGAGGACAAGGAGGGAGCCTGCCCTGCCTCCTGAGCACGGGATCTGCCCCCGGACTCTAGCGACTGGCTCCTGTGGAGACTCGACTCGGCCCTTCCGGGAGTCGGGCACCCTGCATGGCACTGTCCTCCAGCACCGAGCCTCCGTGACACAGCCCCCACCGCGTGCACCGTGCCCTGGCTGCCTCCTGCCCCAATGGCAAATGCACGGGGCGTCTGTGCCCACAGCCCTGTTGAGCCGTCCCATCGCCTGGTGGCTCCACGCGGCTGGGCCGGGGGCTCTATGGTGCCAGCAGGCCCCGGACGTGGTTCAGGAGCGCCCATGCTACGGGCTCCCTCCAGACGCTGGGCCTGGTCTACGTAGCCAGCCATGGGCAATGGACGAGCAGCGCTGGCCCCAGGGCGTGGGCTGTGGGGGTCAGGGCTCCCCAGGCCTGGGGGCTGTACATACCTATATAGAGATCTATACATCCTGTACAGAGAGCGGCTATCGAGATAGATCTGTCTATAAGGCCCGTAGGCAGCAGCGCGGGCCCTGGACCGGCCTGTACATAGTCAGAAAGTGTTGGATTCTCCTTGTCTTCTGTGAAGACCCAACCTATGCAAACGCACAGACACTTTTTGGGGCACAAAAAAGCAACTCGCCCTTTTTTCAAGTGCTTTGGCTGGTGATTTTCATATTCTGCTCTTAGTCTATAAAAAATAAAAGGATAAAAAACCCATCCCTGGGCTGCTTGGATTGGGGCCGCAGGGTCAGGCGCCCTTGGGCGCAGCTGGCAAGGGCCTTTGTCAAGCACTGCCAACTTCCTAGACCCAAGGCATGCCCACCCCCCTGGCTGGGCCCTCTCACCTCTACAGCTCCCCTGGCACACTTGTGTGTGACAGCCCTGGGCACGTGCCCTCCTAGTGCCTCTGCCAGGCCCTCCCAGCTTGCATGGGGCTCAGAGCTGGGTCTGACCCCTGGCACTCCAGGGTCTGGATGCCCTGAAGTCTGAATGGGTCCAGGAGGTGCTATTGCCCCCCAGCCCTCTGGGGGCTCTTGCTGGCTGCATTCCCTGGGCCCTGCCAGGGGGAGCGGGTTCAGTCCAGGGGAGGGCCCTCCCTGTGCAAACAGCAGCTCAAAGGGCTGCCCGCCTGCTTTGTCTGTGCACAAAGGGGCCATTCATGCCCCTGCACTCTGTGCTGGGCGCCTGGGGCTGGCTGGCAGCGGGAGGTGACTCCATCGCCCCGGTACCTGCTCCGCTCCTTGCCGTGCGGGGGGCGGGGGCGCGTGCCTACTCCAGCTGTCTGACCCCCTTGGCTCCTCCCCAGTGCAGGGGCTGGGGGTGTCTCCAGGCCTGGGGAAGGCAGGAGTGGGGGCTGGGCTGGCTCGGGGCAGAGTGGGCTTGGGGCAGGGCACTCGTACCAAGCGCCCAGGGTCTCCTGTCACCAGGGACTTGGTGATTCCCGGCCCAGGAGCCCAGAGCCCAGCATGGGAGCACCAGCCTCGGGTAATGCTGGGGTGCAGGGAAGGTGGGGCTGGCCCCCCAGGTAATGGGGAGGGAGGCATAGGGTGTGGGTGGGGGCTGGGACGGTGACCCACGGCACCTCCATTGGGCCCGTGCTCCATCCTCATTACCCCAGATCCTGACATGTGGCAGGGGTGCTGGCTGGTTGCAGGGTACAGCAGCCTGGGTGGGACTGGCCCCGGTGCCCCAGGACAGAGCTCCCTTGAGCCGTGTGGCTGGTGCCAGGCTGGGTGCCATGTGGTGTGGGTGGGGCTGGCTGATAATGGCAGAGTTGGGGGAGCTGGGGCCCAGGCAAACCAGGCCCTTCGAGTCCAGCCCCCCTCCCCTGGCCTGGAGAGCTGGGGGGAGGGGAGGGGCAAAGCCAGCCTAAGACCTTCCCCCCTGCGGGGGGGGGGGGCGCAGTCCCATGGCAAACACAGTGGGCGGAGCCCTGGTTAGCCCCTGGGTAAGTAAGTGCTGACACGGGGGGGGGGGGCGGGGGGTGCTGCACCCCCGGCTTGAAGCGGTTCCCATCGTATCCAGGGTTCCTTTGGTTCAGTGGCTCTCAGCGCCCCTGGCTAGCTATGTCCGTGCGTGTGGCCACTCGTCTGGCTCTGCGTGTGAGCATTATGTTGTCATGCAGAAGAGCATGCGTGTGATTGCGTGTCCCTGCACAGGACCAGTGCTCTCCCTCACCCAACCCCTTCCAGGGACCCCAGGCCTGGCAGAGGCAGGAGACACCCCCTCTGGATAAGAGCTGGCACCTGGGGGTGCCCCAGGTAAGTGGCCCCCCCACCCCAGAGGGGCTCAGCCCAGCTGGGGTTGAGGGAATGCACCAGGCGCCTCCTCCCGCTGTGTTTGGGGGTCCTGGTGCTGGCAGTCCCATGGCAGAGGTGCCCAGGTGCTGACTCGCAGCTGCATGCCTGCTGTACCTGGCACCCCTCGCTGGGGCCAGTTGGGTCCCATGGGGAATCCCGAACTTGCCACCAGCCCCCCCACCCCCGCTGGCCACAGTCCCTGTCTGGGCCGGTCTGTTGAGCTCCGGGGGGGATCTTGCTCCTCCCTGGGTCTGGGCAGCAGCATTCTCCCCATGCCCCAGCTTTTCCCCGATTTCCTGCTAGCACAGGGCCCCCTGCAGTCAGGGGACCTCTGAGTAAGACATGCCCAGCCTGGCCAGGGCTCCCTACCTCCTGGGGGGGGCGGGGGCAGGAATGGGAGGGCAGGGAATGGATCTGGGTTTATAGTTTGCAACCCAAATCCCTCTTCTTGCTCTTTGCCTGGCCAGTGTGTGTGGGGATGGCACGAGGGGGAGCTGCCACCATGCTCCCCTTCAGAATGGCTTGGGCAGGAGGGGGATTGGGCCAGGTCCTGCACACCTGGCCCTGCTGCCCCAGCTGTCTCCCTTCGGGGCTTAGCACCAGCTTGGTCCAACCTGTTTAAACTCCCCCCTTGAATGCAGATGAGGCCTGGAGGGGCGGAGCAGGGTTCAACCCCTGGGGGAGCCCTGGACCCCCAGTGCAGGCCCCCAATCCCAGCTGCAGCTCTAGGGGCTCCCAGCCAGCTGCCTTGGCCAGCCCCACAGCTCTGACACCCTCCCCTGTGCAGGGCAAGGGCATTCGAGGGACAGCAGCTGCTGGGGGCATGGCGGGAGATTCCCTAGTTTGCAAAAGCCTCTGCTGGGAAGTTCAATCCAACCCCAGGGTCTGAGCACCCCCTGCTGGGAGAGGTGATGGCTGGAGGAGGCGGGGGCTGTGGCTAATTGTCCTGACACTGTTCCCCAGTAACACAGTAACCTTGTGGGAGGAATCTCACATCACACCACTGGCTGACACAGACCTGGCAGGATGCTGGGCCCCTGCTCCTGGGCCGAGCCCCCTGCAGCCCCCTCCACGGGCTGACAGACCCTGGAGGGATGCAGGGCCCTGGCCCAGGGTTGAGCCCCCAGCAGTCCCCTTGGGCAAAGAAACTCGGTCAGAGCAGCAGATGGGGGCGGGGGAATCTGGTTCCAGGATCCCAGCTCCTGCAGTTGGTAATTCACTGAGACTACAAAACCATTACTGTATCCAACCAGCGCCTGGCTGGCATGGGGGCAGTGCTGGCCTGGCTCGATCCCAGCTGGTATCTTGGGGCAGAGGGTGCCCAAGTGCTGTCATGGGTGCCCTGTGCTGCCCAGTGGGCGGTGCTCTCTGGATCCTGCCACCCCATAGCTCCCCTAGCTCCCCACCTGCAGCAGCTGGGTGTGCAGGCAGCTGCCTCCATGGAACTGGCCTAGGCTTGTCTGGGGCGTGGGGAGGAGCCAGCAAACCTGCCAGACAGGTCCTGCGGGCGGGTGCTCCAGCCACGAATGGAGTTTACCTCTGGCTCAGCTGGGGAGCAGTGGCGTTTACTCACACCTGGCTGCACGGCCACCCCGCTTGCCCTGCGCCACCTGGACTGGCTCGGCCTTGCAGCCGGCGCAGGCCTTGTGGCCTGTAAAAACCTGCACCCAGCGAGGAGGTGCTGCGTCAGGCCTGGCTCGCCTGACGCGTTTGCCAGCCGTAAAGCACAAGGCGTTTGTTGTCTGCACCTTTACATACCAGCCTGACCCAATTCCCAGTTAGGGGGTCTCTGCATCTTGGTGCTGGCCAGGCCTGGAACCGCACAAACGTCTTTCCCACCCCTGGCTCCTCCAGCGAGCAGGCGCTGAGCGTTGCTGGGGCCTATGAGTGTGGGGCGCACCCCAGCCTTGCTATGGGGCTGGGGGCTTTGCTGCCCCTGTTGCTCCAGTGAGCCTAACCCCGTCCCTGCCCAGAAGCACCCCCTCCCGCAAGCAGGCTAGCCCTGCTGCTCCCTGCCCCGTGACAGGGAGAGCCTTGCGCCTGGGAGCTCAGTTATAGCCGGGGGGTGCCCAGTGCTCAGCGGGGGAGCAGCCTGTTGAGGGTTCGGAAGACCCGTCTTCCCCTGGAAGCAGAGTCAAAGGAGCAAGTGTGGCCCCAGGACCCCCCCAAGCCAGCCCGTTACCCAAGCCAGGCTGGGCATGCAGCCATCTGTCCGTCCACGGGCCAGGCTGGGAGCTGCTGACGTAACTGGGGGGTCATTTCACAAAGGAGAGGCAAGCGCTCTCCTCCCTGCTGCCGGCCTCTCGGCCTCTGCCATTCTCTGCTTCCCGTCCGTCCGTCCCACCCTCCTCCTGGCTGGCATGGGGCTCCCCTTCCCTATCCCCACCTGGCCTGCGGTGGAGAGGCCTCCCAGGGGGAAAAGCCAGGCGATTTGCAGTGTGTGTGTGGGGGGGGGTTGCCTTGGTGCTGGGGGGTGGGGGGAGGTGAGTCACAGGCCCTGGGAGGAGTAGCAGCTCCACTTGCAAAATCCCTTTTGCAACATGCCTGGAACTTGGCTCCTTTCCCCAGCCTGGCCTGGCCCAGAGTCCCCCGGCCATGGGGCAGCCCCATGCGCTCTGCAGGACTCGGGACTCCAGGGCAGGTTCCTGGTAGGGCCAGTGGTAGGGCCCTGCTGGGCTCCGTGGCCTCCAGGAATTCAGTGGGACTGCACCCCCTGTATGGGTATGAGCTGGATATGGAGAGCGCTGGCCCTTCCAGACCAGGGGCTGCATGGGAACTCCAAGGAGTCACCTCCCTAAATGCTGCGCCCACTGGGAGAGGCCCAGTGGGGCCCTGAGGAGCTCTGAGCCCCCATGGCACCATGCTGGCACCGTGCACACATGCCCAAGCCTCGCTCTCATGGGGAGGGGCAGCCCTTGGCTGGAACCTGCCGTACCTAGAGCCTGAGAGAAGAGCTGGGGGGAGGGGGCCTTGGGAAGCTGGTCCCAGGTTCCTCTCTGGTTGTGGGGGCAGGAAGCCACAGACCCACCCAGCCTGGGACCCTGGCAGGGGATGAGGAAAGTTTTGCACAAGGGCCTCGCTGGTACCAGGCTGGCAGCAGGGCCTGTAGGGCAGCTCGGGCACCAAGCCGCCGCTTAAACCTCGGGCACGCCAAGGAGCCTGTCCCCGCCCCGGGCCCCCTGCCTCCCTGGGCCCGCCCCTTGCACAGGCTTCCCTGTGGTGCCACCCCCAGGTCTCAGCTACCTGCCTGGCTGCACGGATCACACAGCAGCCCTGGCCTTTGCTCCCGAATTAGGCGCTGGGCCAGCCGCCCCCGCCATGTTCCCCAGACCCAGTCACGTCACCGCTGGCAGGGGCCAGCTCCCACCTGGGCACTCTACTCTACCTGCTCAGCCATAAATAGCCTGCAAGGTGTGG